AAAAAAAAGAAAAAGAAGAAAGAAAGCAATGATAAACGTGGCATTCATCTCTAGTACCGTTCAAATATTTCAATCGTTCGTTAAGATATATATTTCAGTTGACTGTCAACGGTAAATGTAGCTCCTAGCTCGGGCAAATTCGCGATCATCGTATTGCGGATAAACCTTGTGCAATTCAAATTTCATAAGCAGCCTTTCGAACGTTCTTTCTATGAATCGTGGTCCAATATATCACGTCAACGGTGGGGCCGTCAAACGAAACATGGCGTCCGTTAGGTTATTGCTATGAGTGCTGGTTCGGTTTCTATCATTAAATGTGGAATCATCGTGCGTTTTGCGGGCTGACGCAAAGCGTCGTGTCCTCGGAGAGGCAAACACGTCGCTTTCAACCCTGCATGCTTCGTGTACATTATTCCTAGTGCCGATTCAATGAAAAGAATCGGCCTTACCGATAGTGGCTTGTGGGTATACACACCCCGACGCGAGACTCCAAAGTGGTTTTATAGCATATCGAGCTTTTTTCTATTCTCCCGGAGATTTTTCCTTTACCACTCCAAATAGGAGTATGATCGACGAGAAATCGCAAGATCTTCGTCGCTTTAATGTCGAACTTACGGATCAAAATGCCGGTCATCGTTAAGGTGTTTTTATGCAAGGGGTGATTACCTCTTTTCATCTTGTTTCTCCCGTGAAATTTTCCGCGTAATATTGCTTTATTGTCGAGATATTTGATAGTCAGTTTACACTTGTGTATTAATTGTGATTGAAGAGGAAACGTACGTAAAATGAACGTAAAATGTGCGAGGACGTGTACAGTGTTTGAAAAAATAATACAAGGTGTATATTAGACTTTCACCTCTTCTTGTACATGTTATACATCATTTACCTTATTTGAGACAAACCAACAACACGTTTAAAGTGTTCTATGTTATTTGTGATTCTATTGGTAGAATGTTACACTAAGATTGCAAAACAAGGGGTTGTAATTTCCAAAAAGTGGAAGACTAAGAAGAGTGTGAGGCCATATGCCGCCAGCCGGGCTATCGGCAAGAGGCTTGTCTACCTTGATGGACCACGGACAGCCAGATGCTCGTCATCGGAGCGAGCGATTTGTACTTCATCCAGAGAATGGATCCTCTAACTCTCACAGTCCTAACACAGCCAATTCATCTCCACGATATCAACATAATAGCAGAACAAATAATCATTCCACAAGGTATAAAATGTGTTGTTATCATATAGCCTTTGTAATATTTCTTATGATATTAAAGAAAGAGGTATCTTGTATGATATTAAAGAAAGAGGTATCTTGTGCATTTTAGTTACGGATATTTATATGGGCGTACATCTAGCAACAATATGTCTGATAGCAGTATTTCTGACACACATAGTGGTGGTACAGCAAGAACTGTCTCTCAACAGACCAGTCCATCTCATGGCACACATTCTTCTTCTCAGTCGAGACAAGACAATAGTTCAACAATTTTCACAGCATTATTTGATTATGTTGCCCAAGGCGAGGATGAGTTATCTTTACAAAGAGGTGAAACAGTTGAGGTAAATTGTGTATTATAAATATGCGTGAAATTAAACATGTTTCATTGGAATGCTTAAGTATATTTTACTTTACAATAGGTCTTATCTAAGGATTCAAAAATCTCAGGTGATGAAGGATGGTGGACTGGAAAAATCCATGGAAAAGTTGGTATTTTCCCAGCCAATTTTGTTGCAGAAGCAGAAAGTATCGACAGAGTTTCATCGGTGATTGATAAAGTTCAACCGGTTGAAATTGATTTTGAGGAATTACAATTAGAAGAAGTGATAGGAGTTGGTGGATTTGGAAAGGTTTACAGGTATCTAAAATATTATAAAATACTATAATTAAATCTATTGATAGTTCATTAGTACAGTATTTATAATAGTTTGTAACATTCTAGAGGATTTTGGCAGAAACATGAAGTGGCTGTCAAAGCAGCCCGCCAAGATCCAGATGAAGAACCAAGTGTTACGTTGGAAAACGTTCGTCAAGAAGCTAAATTATTTTGGTTATTGAAACATGAAAATATTGTGCAATTAGAAGGAGTTTGTTTAAAAATGCCAAATATGTGTCTCGTAATGGAATATGCGCGAGGTGGTAGTCTGAACAGGGTTCTTAGTGGTAGAAAAATCAGGCCTGATGTACTTGTTGATTGGGCAATACAAATTGCTCGTGGCATGGATTATCTTCATAATAAAGCACCTATAAGTCTTATTCATAGGGACCTAAAAAGCTCTAACGGTAAGACAATTAAAAAATACAGCTGTGAAAAAAGATATTAGCTACTTGAATATATATTATATTTTTAAATGAAATATGTTAGAATAATATATTATTTTCATTTTATTTTTATTGATAATAGTATTATTGAGCGAGCCTATAGAGAATGATGATCTACAATATAAAACTTTGAAAATAACTGACTTTGGACTAGCAAGAGAAGTTTATAAAACAACCCGTATGTCAGCTGCAGGCACATATGCTTGGATGGCACCAGAGGTTATTAAAAAGAGTACTTTCAGTAAAGCCAGTGATGTTTGGAGGTCAGTGATGTTTTATATACTTCCTATATCACTTCAATTTTAATAAATCTAATATTTAAATATATCTTTTCTTTTATTATGAAATATATCTTTTCTTCTATTAACTTTTCGATGTATGTATAGTTATGGCGTGCTTTTATGGGAACTTTTAACTGGTGAAACACCTTATAAAGGAATAGATGCCTTGGCAGTAGCATATGGTGTTGCAGTAAATAAACTCACATTGCCTATTCCATCAACTTGTCCTCAACCTTGGAGGTTTTTAATGGAAGGTACATAAATTCATAATCAGTTAAAAGAATACGAGATATTTTAACCTGTATTTTGAAGTAAAACGTATTTAATTATTCAGCTTGTTGGGCATCTGATAGTCATTCAAGACCAGGATTTGCTGAAATTTTAGTAGCGTTAGATGAAGTGCGTAGTGCATTTGCAGCAACACCGCATGAGTCGTTTCACACAATGCAAGAAGACTGGAGACTTGAAATTGAACAAGTTCTTCATGGGTTGCGCATGAAGGAAAAGGTATAAATTAAAAATTTTTTTGTTTTGTAAAAATGATTTCGGAAAAAATAAAATTTGTATTATTATTGCAATCAGCGTGCGTGTCATTTATATCAATATAAATAATGTTTATAATCCTTCTTTTAAATGCTATTCAAAGGCATGCCGTTCATTAGAAGAGGTAATAATTACTTTTATTTATGATAGCAAGTACATATATTTTATCATTACACGAATTTTTGTTTACGAAAATACATGTGTTTACCTAATATAGTATCATGTTTTTTTTATGTTTGTCTATTAGGAATTGCGCTGTAGAGAAGAAGAATTAACAAAAGCACAAGTGCAGCAACGACAACATGAAGAAAATTTGAGGCAACGAGAACAAGAATTAGCTGCACGAGAAATAGACTTATTAGAGCGTGAATTGACTGTAATGATAATTCAGCAACAGAATACTCCTACACCAAACAAAAGACGCGGAAAATTTAAAAAATCGAGATTAAAATTAAATAAAAAAGAACCAGGGAGTAATATAAGCGCTCCTTCTGGTAAGTATATTGTATTATAACTTACCCCAATAATTTTGCATAAAATGTAAATTATAAAATTAAAATATAAAATTAAATTATAAAATTAAAATATAAAATTAAATTATAAAATATAAAAATTAAATTATAAAATTAAATAACCAACATACATATTTATCCATACAGATTTTCGCCATACAATAACTGTTCAACATACAGCATTAGATCGAGGAAAAGTACGAAATCCATCGAGACCAAATAGTCCACCAGGCTCGCCTAGTATTCCACGGCTTCGTGCAATTGCATGTGAGTACTTTGTTTCTAAGATTCTTGGTAGTTCACAATTTCGATGAATAATGAATGATGTTGTTCTAAGATATGTTTTTAGTATTTCAAGAAATTTAAATTACACTGTTTGTGCTTTGTAGACATTGTATCGATTTAACATCAATTTTTATTAGCATGGTGTGAATAATTAAATATATTTTAATATATTTTTGAAATATTACATATAT